CGGCTCCCGCCTCCTGCGCCTCCTTTGTCCCTGCCGCGCTCCGCCTCCCGCGCAGGCAGCCCCCCCCACGTGCGAGCAGCCCGCGCCCCGCGGTGTTGTCCCCCACCCCACACACACTGAGCGGCTGGTCTCTGCCGCCGCCCGGCCACAGGGCGGGGTGATGCCGGCAGAAGGAGACTCCCCGCTAAGCCTTGCTGTAAAATGAGGGTATTGGGAGCTCAGCATTGATTGTCTTTGCTGAAAAACCAGGAAAAGATGCAGTTAACGATGCCCGTAAGTCGTCTTTTTGATATTGCTGGCTGGAGGGTGCCAGTGGGTGAGTGAGAACTGGGTCATGAAAGTGGAAGTGTTTATTCGGAGGTAAGCAGGCATCCAGCGCTGACGCCCAGCCCAAAAGTCTGTTATGACTCCCTGAGGGTGACTTGGGTTTTGCATGTGCTGCCATCAGTTAGCTGCCCCAAAAATGATTGGGGTGCAGGTATTGTAGCCGTGTTGGTATAATGACCTAGGCAGACGAGGTCTTTTGGGTAAATCCCAAATCCTAATTTGTATTGGATCAATTCAATTGGTTGGAAAAATTCTTTTTTGCAAGCTTCCGGGTATAAGCTGTGGAGCGCATACCAACTGCAGATGCTTCCTCAGCCTGACGAAGGGTATTTATACCTGAAAGCTTGCAAGGAAGAGTTAGACAAATAAAAGACACCACATTTACCCATATAACTTTGTCTGTCAAAAGTGATCTTTCGTTTTGGGGGTGTAGGTTGTAGCCATGTTGGTCTAAGTACATAGGCAGACAAGGTTCTTTGGGTGAATCTGATATCTTTTATTAGACCAACTTAAGTTAGACTAATAAAAGATTAGACCAATTTATTAGACTTAAGTTGGTCTAATAAAAGATACCAGATTCACCCAAAGAACCTTGTCTGCATCTTGCATTTTGAACACTTGTGCACTTATTGATTGTGCATCGTAAAAGGGTTGGAATTTTTGTACAGATACAATAATTGTTGTACACCTGGCAACACTTGCAGGGAGCCTGCCAGCATGGGGGGGCCTTGTGCCCCCCAGGTTTGTGAGCGGGCGGCTCCTCTGCTGCCAGCCCAGACACAAGGGCAGGGGGTGATGTTGGCAGAGGGAGACTCCCCTCAGGCCAGCGTTGCCGGCTCTTCAGTATGAAATTATTGTAGAAGCAACCCCTGCTTAACGCTGTTTCACTTGGCGCTATTATGCTGTAACGCTCATTTGAAATAGATACCTGATTCCATTTAGCGCTCAGCAAGTTTTGTTATAATGCTCACGGTCGTCGTCTTGGGTCATTAAAAACAATTGCAGTCTCCATCTTGGGTCATCAGATACTTCCGGTTTCATTTAATGCTTGGTTTTTCAGGAACCAATTAAGAGCACTAAGTGGGAGATGCCTGCATTGGAAGCTCAAAATTATTGTCTTTGCTGAAAAACTATGGTACACTGAAAAAATATGCAACTAAGTCGTCTTTTTATTTTCTTTATGTTGCTTGCTGTAAGCCACCAGTGAATGAGTGAGAACTGGATCATCAAAGTTGAGACATTTCTTTAGTTCGAGGCAAGCAGTCATAAGAAAGTGCTGCCAGCAAACCCAAAAGTCAGTTAAGACTCCCTGAGAATGACTTGGGTTTTGCATATGCTGCATCAAATAGCTGCCCTGAATTATTGTACACTTTGAGCACTTTATTGTTAGGACACCATATACGGGTTGAAATTGTTGTATAAATACTGTACTTACCATACACCTGGCAATACTGCCTCAGGCAAAGGGTGGGGAACTGCTCAAGGTAAAGCTGTGTGTGGAGGAGTAGGGCGGGCAGCACTTCCTCTCCCTCCTGTCTGGGCTCTGAGGAGCCCAAGGAGCTGCCCCTGGCTCTGTTCTGAAAGACACCATCCCTTTCTCATAACTTGTTTGGAGGCCCAGCTCCAGGTGCCCGGAGGCCTAGATCGAGCAGGCACGTCCCATGCCCACGCTGAAGTCGCAGCTTAAAAAACAAAGAGGTCTCTGGGCAGGCTCATCTCCTGAAGAGGTGACTGCTGTGCCATGTCTGTCGCCGCTGCCGAGACCTGTGGGCCAGATCAACCGTGTCAGAGGCAGAGCAGCATCCCCAGCATTGAGGGATCCCACGAAATAAGGCTTCCCAAGTTCTTTTGTTTTTTGGGGGTGACTGTAGAAGGGGAAAAAGATGCAGCGTGGAAGAATGGCTTTGAGCAAAACTTTTGCTATGGCAGCAGCTTTTGCTGTGAAGCAGCTGCTAAAAAGTATGATCCCTTTATGAAAGAAGACTAGACTCAGTAACCCAGAAAGGCTTTTCTAATCCTGGATGGTTATATTCTATAGGCCTGGCTGTTTCTGTTGTGCACGGATGTATCTTTCAATGCCAAAGAGTGAGGCATCTATATCTTCTTTTAGAATAAAAATATTCACATGTAGTTTAAAGTTCTGTTGTCATTAGAATTAAATCTACATCTAGTATCTTTCCAGGAAACCAAGAGGAGAGAGAGGACAGAATTGAGTCTGTTTTCTCTGTTGGCAAATTGGCAACCCACTGGAGGGTGGAGGTGACTCCTCCTCTTATTTACTGGAATAGGCCTTGAAAAAAGGATCATAGCTTGTTTATAGAGTAAAATATTTACTAAGCTCACCTCCTGCTGATGTCAGCTCACCCAACCAAATCCATGCAGCTATTTGTTTCCGTCTTCAGCTCTTATACCCCACCTATACCAGGCCTCAAGTTCTTAGTACAATATGCCTTTAGCCCCCATGTATAAGGGGCTTTTAATTGGAACAGCTATAGTGACATAGCTGTTAACATCCAAAGTGGCTTGGCAAAGAGTATGTTATTGGTTGGATGGGGATGGTATTTAGTAGCCTGGGTAAAGGACCAGGACCAAAGAGTTCATAATTTAAGTTATATTACAGCAGCCAGTTTTATACTACTTTATACTACTCAGTTTCTTCAGGGAACTTAAGGAAAAGTCATTGCCAAAGGATGTAGGCTGGAATCAAATGAGATTTCAGTGCTTTGTTGTGCCCAATACTTGTCCCAGCGCTTCACCAAGATTTATTGTATCACTTGATGACAGCACTTGGAACCAGGTTTTTAGCTTAGGTACAGTTGAGCTGTTTAGTAACCAGCTTGTCAAAAAATAAGGAGGTATACAGCTGCACCAGTTGTATATCCTCTAAACTCCATCTCGTGAAATTTGGGAAATATTGGAAATTATGGGAACACTGTTCCCATAACAGTGTTGAGGGCACGGCACTCTAGAAGCTACATTCGTCTTGTCAGAACAAGTAGCACTGGAGGGACTTCACATTTATATCTGTTTTGTATGCTGATATAAATTACATCAGGGTCCAAAGAGGACAAATGAGTACCTATCCCAGGGTAACATGCAGTAGGTGGTGTTACATTGATTCATTACCAGGGATCTTGGTTTCCCTGATTTTAAATAAATCACAACTTCTCTGATAACCCCAAAAGCTGTCATTTTAAATGAAAGGGCTTTCACTGCCCCCCCACCCCTGTACCACCAGAGTGGACCCCTAGCTGCCAGGGCCACAGCCCCCTGCCCCCAGCAGGAGGTGGCAGCTGCTGCAGTGCAGCGGAGCCCAGCCCCCCCCCCCCCCCCCCCCCCGCCCGCCTGCCCGCCCGGGGCACGTCGCGGGG